TGATCAGAGCCTAACATTAGTCTTTTGATAACTTTGATTTAGGACCGGTACTGTGTATAGACGCTAACAGACACACATACACATACGCACAGACTCGAGCAAAAGTAGCAGGACCAGTATGAAAGATAATTAGCCAAACCACTCTTTCTATCTAGCTTTGTAATTTTATTTTGCTTGATTAAGTCTACATACGAGGTAAGATAGAGCCGGATGTTAACGTGAGACTCTTACAGGAATAAGACCCAGCTCTAATGATGTCCATCGAATGATGGACGAAAACTCAGCCCGTTGTCACCCGAAACGAGTGAGGTCTCGTAGACTGCGTCAACCTGAACGTGGCATCGAAGCCAAACGGCGACAGTACAACGCGGTTCATCCCTCCTCTTCTGGTGAGATTGGCCTACGAATCTCTTTTTCATGCAAGTTTATACGAAATGAAAGCCCCCCTCCAACAGTATTATAAACTTTATCTTGATATCAAGGAGGTATCACTGGATTTGATAAGCCAATTCTTTGTTTACCTGTTGCACACATGAATTGTTGAAATAGAAAAGAGTTATAGCGAAATGATGTTTCCTTTCATCAATTGAATATGACTTAAGGTAACTCAGAAAATTAAGTAAGTTTTCAGGCAGGATAAGAGAGGTGGATCGTAGGCTCATTTAGTTATGACTTAACTCCAAAAAGTTGGCATACCGTCTCAATATTCCTGTCCGGTCACACACAATTCAGTCGTCTACGCCTAACACCAGCAATTTAATCATATGTCTATAGATAATGGATGCGCTTCTTCTTGCCTAATTAGGGTGAAAAGAAAGAACTTTGATGAACTGAAGTATGATTCGGCTTAGGCAGGAAGACTTAAAAACACAAAAATTCTCCCGTAATTCGCATGTCACGAGCAACCAAATCAGGTTAGGGTTACACCGTCTTTCGGGGATTCCCTTGACCGCCAGAACTGTTGGCCCAATCCTACAGTCATAATGTGTTCGAGTTGCCATCTGACTATAGGGTTAATCCGTATAGGAGACGAAAGTCCATAAAGCATTGTACAAGAACAAAGAGAATGTCCTGAAGACTGTGGTGATATTTTCAAAACTTTCCTCAAACATCATACTTCAGTTTCTGGTGAAAAAGTGTGCATAAGCCCCATTATCGTGGTTTCAAACTAAATGTAAACAGAATTATAACCATCCTCAAATAAGAATATATATAAAAAGGTTTTTTGAAGTGTAATTAAATTGCTATTTTAAACCTATGTTTTTCACATTTTACCAAGGAAATAATATGTGTATAATATTTGTATAATTAAGTTAAAAAGATTAAGAGTATCTTCATTTAAATATTTCGCCATCCTTTAAAGTATTTTTTCTCCGATCGTTTTGTCGAGAGAAACTAGTTAATAGATCACGCCCCATTCATATTTGTGTTAAAAAAAGTCTTTAAGAAAAAATGGTATGCAGAACAAGCGACAATAAGCAAAAACATGCCAAGTCGAAGGGGAAAGTATGCAATATAAGTGCTTTCGATTGGGTTCTCGATGTATCAATGTTGAGCTGACCTTGATTTATGATAAAAACGTATGATGAGGGGATTCATCGCATTCTGGTGAGATGTTCCTAAGAGTTTATACATCCTAAATTTCACACAACAGTGCAACAACATATGAGTGAGTTTAGAATCTTATTAATGATAACAAATAATGCAATCCATTAAGTTCAACATGAAATGAGCCAAAATCCATTCAGAACTAAACGAGTTATCCCATCACTTGTGCATTTTTCGGTGGTAGTGATTGGATGAAATAACTATCAATTGATCTTATTTAGAAGTGGAATCATGTTGCTGGTTGCCTGGTGTTATGGTGAAAAACACGTAATCAGCACATAATGAATCTGAAATAAATCCTGATGTTCCGATGAATTCCGTTTCACCTTATCTCTAGACATTGAAATCACATCTAGAGTGGAGTGAAAGTTCGGCACAATCCTGATTTCACATACTACCCCAGCGAGATTCAAACACGTGCCGTCCAGGTGCCGTCGCAACAATGACACCTGTAGGTCACTAGACTTTAAAGTCAATAGTTACTGGGACAAGCAGCACAAAGACTAGGCATTAAATATGGGTAAATCATAAGATATCTTTCGAAAGATTTTGATTTTGGCCGAAGATTTAACCTAATGTGGAAGCAGAAGATATTGTATAAAAATGCATATTTGTTTGAAACGCGATAGGATACATAAGATTAATGCGTTGGGAATACTAAAGAGAAGTAGCCTTATTTCAATTCTACTCTTTTCCCTAGTTTTGTTTAAGTATGACCTAGTAAAGGGCTATAAAAATCATGTTAGAATTTGGCCTAATTTTCACTTGATGAGCGATACCTAAGGTCAGATGGTTTGTTACATGCTTCTGCCTAGCCGTTCACTTCTTCGTGTTGATGCGAGGTTCACAATTTGTTCAAGGCACTTCTTCCTCGGAACCTAGTCATTA